CGACCGATAGTCGATTTCTAAATCCTGGATATTTTCAAAAGAAAAATCCGCTTATGTCTCAAATAGATACGATTACTCATGTTCACACTTTATTGCTTCAACTTAAAAACCTGTAAGGCACATGTTACAATTAGCCTTACGACAAAAATTTCCATGTCTTAATACCGTTAAGATTACAATATCCTTTTCTACGGGATCAAACTGTATTACTGACATTTTATTATTCCTATTATTCCTATTATTCACGATGATAAATGTAAATCATAAACGACGTACAGAACGGATGTGAAAAATTGACCTTGCGATTTACAAGATATTTGTGCCTGCAGTATAACAACAGAAGAAAATAAAATATGTCTCTCTTGATCATTAAGCTGTAACCCAGTACTGTATTTATTCTCTTGAGCATCAAACACACAATTCTGCAAACTTTTACGAAATACTATTTTACTAGTCTCTCAATATATAGACGACATCCATATATAAGAGATTGTAATTATTGAAATTAAAGTTTAATTAATTAAATTAATTAATTAATAAGTTAATAATAAATTAATTAATTAGTATTAGTTGTGTGTGTGGTGCGCGCGCGCGCGTGTGTGTGTGTGTGTGTGTGTGTGTGTGTGTGTGTGTGTGTGTGTGTGTGTGTGTGTGTGTGTACACAGATTATCCGATTTTATTTTAAACAGCCAAATATTTAAAAATCACGGGATTGTAGAAAAAGATGTTTCGTATAAAATTATAGTTTCGAAAGTGCTACATGATTATGATATTGATTCATTCATAGCTGACTGTCAGATCGATTAGTATAGAGAAAACATACAGTTGACTTTTAAAAAATATATATATTTACATATTGTTATGCTTGTATAGTTTTTTTGCAAAGCAACTATATATCTTCTTCACACCATTGATTTTTCTTATTACTATAAAAGTATTAAGACATAAAAGTATTAAGAAACGAATTTATCAAAAAATGAATAGTTTACGAGATATTTTATATTTTATCAGAATATGCCAGAATAAAATATAAAATATTTCGTAAACTGTTTACTTTTGGACATTTGTACCTTCATACTTTTATATTTAGAATAATCATATTACGTAACAAAAAATATATATAAGATTCCACTTAATAAAATGGCGATCATAAAGTCTCGCCAATGTCGTCGAATTGAACGAATGAATCAATATCAGAATCATGTGGCCCTCTAGAAACTCTACAACTTTTGTACGACACGTTTTTCCCATGATTTCTAAATATTTAATTGTTTAAAATGTGCGCGCGCAAGATTTTATTTTAAACTATTTTGTATGATACGTACAAAGGTACATATCGTACAAAAGTTACAAGTTTTTACACCATGCACGCACGCACACACACATAAATTTTTAATTAAACAAAAATTTTATTTCTCATAATTTTAAGATGCACGCAACAGCATAATTTCACATTATGCAATTATTCAACAAATTATTCGTAATATTTGTATTTGTATTTGTTATTTGTATACAATAATAATAACGACACTGGTCCTATATGTCTTGATATAATCTTGATATAGTATTTATTCAATACATATTTCAAGTGATATATACTGAATATATGTATATTTTGAAATAATAATTAACAAATAATATATAATATTTCTAAAAAATATTTTATATTAATAAAATGAAGTAAAATTTGAATGAATAAGTTTTGCCAAAAGAAAAAAAAATAATTCATCATCTACATCCAAATAATTTTACTCAGCAAGATCGAACAAACGTGTAAAGTGTGAAGTGTAAATTGTTAGACATTGTCAAAAGAATTTACAATTTTATATACACTTAGAACACTTTAGAATACTTAAGAACACAAAAATGCCCCATACAGTCAAATATTGATTTAATACATTGAAGAAAGAAAGAAAAGAAATTTTCTCGGCTTCTGTATCAATTGATACATACCGATGTTTTATATTCAAGTAATCATCTAAAAAAATTAGACGATACGCAATGCAAAAAAAATTCAGATAAAACTTTATATCATCCAATGCTAATCATCATGTATTTTAATACCTGCGCACAACAATGGAAGACTCCGAAAAAATGTTGGATTTATTTTTCCTACTTGTGTATTCCATACATATCAGTATAGCGACTTATCGTGAAGAGATCCTAAAGAGAATACTATTATAAATTTTCACTACCTCTGCGTATTTGATTGAGGCATGCCAGCATTCTGATCATAAAAACCGCAGGTACAGTAATTGTGTCTTTGGTCTCCTCCAACATAACTGCATTTCTTTTTTTCAACTGAAAGCAGAGTAAAACATCAAAATTTGCCTTTTGATCTCAAAACTCAAAATTCTGCCTTTCCACATACAACGGAGACATATGCATGTATTTCTTTTGCTTTTATTAATTTAAACTATATAAAATAGGACAACTTACATCTTCCGCAAACTTTTCATCAAAGCTCGACTGATCGTTGATCGGCGCCCATAATTTGACGTCGTAGTCAATGCCAGAAGTAGCTAATATCGGAAGATATGGATGCGGTTGCAGACAATTGACTACATGTTGATCCGCTTCCAATAGCATACACAATTTTGCGGTGTCCCTTTCCCACACGAATACATGACCGCAGTCGCTACCCGACATGACGAAATCGTTGCCCCAAAAATTTGCTTCCTTTATCATGGTCCTAAAGAAACTAGAGTCAAAAATGGAGGAAAGGCGAATAGTCAGAAATAATTTGGCGGCTTTAATATCGTACAATCCGCCCAGTCTGCTCGGAGGCTTTTTCGGAACTACTCGAGTCAATGATTTGGTTTCCGATCTTTCAGAGACGTTTACACTTTGATACACTCTGATTAGACGAGGACTTGATCAAAATTATTGTTTATAGTGGCAGCGGCCAAACTCGCCAAATAGATTTGGTATATGGTATTGACTACAAACTATGTAATCGGTATCACAAAGACATCCCTGGTCAGCTTTTTGGCGTAATTACTTTAATATCGTGTTAATTTAACTACAGTTCTAATAGTCCTCACATTTAAATAATCTCTATAGAAATCACTCACACGAACTTGAGAACACGTGTCGCTCTCATTAATAGTTGAGTTTGCTAATACTATGCTATAATATTAAAAATAAATTTTCAACCTGGCGTTCCTATGTCCCATATATTTTCGTTTTACGCAGAGTTCCGTCAGATAGGTATCATCAAATGTCTCGTGTCCTTGCGACGAACGAGCATTGACAATTGCTTCGTCCATTTCCTCGATTGGATTTAGCAACCTGTAAATATTAGAGTTATTGATAAAAAAATTATAACTTTAAAGATGAAGCCACATAATAAATAGATATACGTATAAAGAAATGAACCAAAGAAATGATAGTGACTTGAATTGAATAAAATGTTTATCGTGACACTTCAACAGACCTTTCATCTGATTGAACATCTTCATCGTCGCTATCGATGTACACAGTTTCTTTACTTTCTGTAAAAAATGTCACATGTATATATAAATAAATGAATAAATATCTTACACTTACACGCCACACGCTACGCATATCCATTCACGTATCATATATGAATGCATATATTAAGATTTATGAAATTATTAAAAAAATTTTTAAAAAGAACTATCAAATACAATACACACAATGATTATTTTAAATATTTACTTTCTCTATCTTCATTATAATGATAATGGTTGCGATTATTGCTCGGACCTGCATCGAGAGTATTATTGCTACTTCCAGACGGACCTGAAAAATAAATTGCTATATAAAGTCAGTTAATCAATATATTAAAACATTATCTGAGATTGATATACTCACCCGGGTGGTAACTATCACGAGTCATTTCATCGCCAACACCAAGCGATATCGTGGCACTAGTTGAGCTTTTATCAGAATACGTTAAACTCACAGCAGGTTCACTGCCATGTCTATATATAAAATTACATATTACACAGATATATTCACACGTGCGCGCGCACACGCACATGCACATGCACATGCACACGCACACGCACACGCACACGCACACGCACACGCACACGCACACGCACACGCACACGCACACGCACACGCACACATACACATTTCAAATAGTTTCATTAATTAAAATATACATTAATTGAGAAAAAGAAAATATAAATTTAATAAATCTCAACAAGAAAAAAATGTATATCTAACCTTTCCAAAAAACCGTCCCGCATTGTTGTTAATCTATCTTGAAGATTCTCCATCATATTCTCCTGTTTGCTAGTTATATTCGTACATGCAGTTTCATCCTCATTTCTGTTTCGATTCCATACATTATCATGGTCACGTTTATCAACATTACTTGTACATTTTGCAGAAGCGATCTGCGCTTGACCGATTTGACTAGATTCAGTTTCCATAGGAACGTCATTCGTGCTCATGGATACATTTGGAAATGATAATTCGTTATATTGCTGTGGTTGTTTAACTTCTTTCGTTTGTAGTCTCTCAGTATTAATCGTTTCGTCCACATCTCTGTCAACATACGTGCTTCTATTTCCTAAAAGCGACGCTTCAATAAAATCAAATATCAAAATGTATAGTGGATATATCTATTTTAGTTACCACTTATTCCTGGAACATTATTTTGTTCAGCGTTCGATTCAACCGCATCATCACTTCTCTCTGTATTCAATTCAGAATTATTCTCAGTGCTTTGAATAGCTTCTGGTTGCTCAATGACACCTTCTAAACTATCTTCACCTCCACCACTCAGAGCGGCGCGCGTGGCTGGATCGTTCAACATTCTGCTGAGTACATCTGTCATCCTCTGCATCAAAGATGTATGCAGCACCGGTCTTGCCTGAGCGATTTCGGCGAATAAACACACACATATATATATATATATATATACACACACGCGCGCGCGCGCGCG